GGGACTCTTGCTTGATACTCTGCTAGACACTCTTGCTGGACACTCTTCGCTAGACACTCTTGCTGGACACTCTTTCTTGACACTCTTTGCTAGACATTTTTCCTGCCAGGTATGTCACTTTCCGACGTGGGAGCGTTTCGTACGAGACTTCCTCCAAAAGTCACACGACAAGTCTCCAAAATGCATCGGAGCACACCCATCGCGCAGCCCTGCCAAGCAGTTTCGCGATTCCAGCCCCTCCAAACAACATCCGCTCACATGCCAATCCCAATGTCACAGCGACATTCACCTCTACCACAACTCACAACCTCACGATTCCCTGCGCCCGCCACGAATCTTTCCACGTCCACGCGTCTAACGCGCACAAAGTCCTGCGGCTGCCACGAAATGTCACCTCCGTCACACATCGCAACCTCACGATTCCCTGCGCCTGCCACGAAAATCGCACTTCCACACCTCAAAGCCCGCACAAGGTACTGCGCCTGCCACGAAAAGTGGCAATGTCACCTCATGTGAGCTTCAACAAAATTTGCACCACACCACACGTTTGGAATGACTTCGGCCCGTTCTGAACACACTCCCATCCACCAAAATCACCATTTCAGCTGAAACTTGTCACGAAAACAGCACTTCGATGCCACACCCTGAAACGCAAACCCCAATGGCACGGCCACATCCAACACCCCCAAAACACGACTCTCCAAACGCTAATCCCAATGAAATACCGACACAAACGTGTCACTTTCACGAAACCCTGCACCTGTGCAGCGAAATGCATCACGTTTCTTGCGCGACATGTCACTTTCATGCAAATCACAATGTAATAGCGGCGCAAACTGACACGTGACACATCCATGAAAAGTCACTTGCAAAAGCTTCCCCCAATGGCAGGGCCATAGAGACATCGTACGGACGGTTGCAAACGGTTGCGGACGGTTGCAAACGGTTGCGAACTCGAAAACAACGTCGGGCAAACACAGCTCTACCCTCAGACTCCCAAGTTAAACGAGAACCCTTCGCTACGCATTCGGGAAACACATGAGATGAGCCATGAGGAGCCTGGAAGTGCCCTAAGGCGACAGCAGCACAACCAGGCCAATCCTTGCGCGCACCGCAGGCCTCCAGGAAGTCCTGTTTCAGGACATCTCCAAAAATAAAGGCCCACATTCAAGTATATAATGAGTAAGTACACTGAAAGTATATAGGTGTCTTATGTTGTCTTGCCAGGTCTTGACAACCTTAAACGCCTTCCAATTGAATGTGTCCCCACGACTTGATCTTACTGGTCCTTGGCTTTCCTTCAGCATTGCAGTCATATTGAGTCCCTTGATTTGATTCTGGGTCCTTCTGCAATTCAACTGCTCGCTTCATAATGCTCTGGCCGCCATGACCTTCGCACACGAGGACCGGTTGCGAAGTGCGCAGTGCCATCAGCCAATGGGCAGAATCCAGAACAGCATGTGACGACTAAAATTGCTGTAAAACATGCTTTACTTGATGCGTGCTGCCTCACACAACACAGAAAATTGTTGGCATAAACGCAGCAAAGTACTGTATGCACAAAAGGGTCTGATGATGTGTGGTGAGACGAACTTGGCATTTCGCCCAAGCACCATCCATGAGAAGCGTGATGTTGAACACCCCATTGCTACCGGGCGTAACCACCACATCTTCGCCTCAAAATAAACACAATGAACACTTCTGATAAGATTTGGCAATGAATGGAACACACGTAGCAAATGCGGATTTTCACAACGCAAATCCAGTTTTGGACACTTTCCTCACTTCCAAATACGTGAAGTTTTGAGAGCATGGCCCTTCATTCGCCCCTTGTTCTGTGTCACTGCAACAGCCTTGGCCCACCAAATGCCAAGCTTGCTCAAACATACTCAAACCCCGTTTGATAGAAGGCCAAAGTGCCCGGCCCTCCAACAAAAGCTGCCACTCGATCTTCCTACCACTTCAAGCATGAAGCAGTTGTAAAACCCGAACGTCTTGAGGTCTCTGCAGTTCCGTCGGTGTAGTTGGACTGCCTAAGTTGATGCCCACTCAATCACATCCTGCTACTTGCTGCGCGTCCAAAACTGAGGAGGCTGCACTTCATTGTTGCGCCGCACCGACTCCACTGCCACACCCAAGTTCAACCCGGTCGCACTCACAACATGTGGCCCAGCAAGCCAGCACCACCAGCGGCAGCGCATGAAGCTACCACAATCTACAAGTAGATCTCTTGGCCAAGCATGGCCGGCCAGTTGGTCGCTTGAGGTGCTGCTTTGGTTTGAATCCATTACACTTTGGGTGCATGCAGTTGCAAATGTTCAAGCAACACCCTGGAAGTGAACAGTGTGCAATATCACCGTGCAATCAAAGAGCCACACAAATATAGACAAATTATATATATAGGTGAGTCCTGTTGGACAAGGTGGCATCTTCCACTGCCACTAAAGTAACTTGAGCCATCATCAAAAGCACTTTTCAGCACAAAGGCTGAGCATGTGAGACCAACAGAAATCCAATCCAAATATTTCCAAACATGGCATCCATATTCATCCACCATTGCATCCATTATAGCCATCCGTCCCACCCTCTTCTGTTGACGTTCCTCCATGTGATAGTAGATATGGAGCTCAGTGACCTCGATGATCTGTGGAAGGTCCGGATCTCCTGCGTCCTCAAAGGTCATCCAACAATTTTGCATGCTGAACATCATGCACATTCATGCACAGCTGAGATCCTGAAGCAATGCTGCTCGAGTTTGAGCTTCAATGTCCTGGAAAGAATCTGGAACAGATCATCAAATCTGAGACACAAAAGAAGGAGGACAAACAAAGAAACAATATCTTCCATGCACTTGCCGAATCTTCATGACAATCGTCGTGTGAGCGATTGTGCATGAACACACACACACACACACGTGTATATATATAATATACATATAAATATACAAATTAAAAAAAAGATAAAAAAAGTATATGCATATGCCGCATATGCGAACAAATGCCCGTACTTAACCACAGTGGCACAGCCAAATGGCATCCTCAGGATTGAGCATGTCGAGGGTCTCAACCTGCTCTGCAATCGTATTTGCCTGGTCATTGGAAGGAGCCTTCCAAACAACAGCCCAACATGTGATGTCTGAAACGGCGAGCAGTGCGGTTCCCGAGCAGCGCTGCCAAGTCTAGTAGGAACATCAAACATCAACTGAATTTCCGAAATCTTGGGAGGAATCCTCCCCGCCGACTGCTCTCTGTACCTCAGAATGGGTCTCCAGCCGATGTGACTGCCTGCAGTCTTTCTCAGCTGCAGATGATACGTGATGGACCGTGATGGATGAAACGCTTCTCAACACCACCTACTGACCCAAGTGCTACTTGCACTAAACATGCCTGTAAACTGTAAGGAAGGCACAACACACTAAACACACAAACAAATAACCTGAGTGTGCTGCGGGCTTCCATCTGGATCTACATGCACTAAAACCTTGAACGCGACCATGCGAAGAAGTCGAACACCCTCACAACCAAGCAAATCCGACCCCACCCTTCAACTGGCTGTAACTGCAACGAGCCCTCTGAGTTCTGCTGGCATCCGTCACAGTGGGGCGGAAATCGTGAATCACATGGTCATGCACCAACTGCGCGGAAAGACGGGTCTCGTTCAAATGCACATAGTAGAAAGCATCAAAATTGCACAAGCAAGCATTTTTTGCATGGGCATCCATTGGCTTCGCCCTAGTGTCACGACACAAAAAGTAGACACAATGTATTGATTTGCTAATGCCTTTGGCTCACCTCTGCGATCATGGAGGCTGCTGACGCTGAAATTCGAGCATCGACCACGATGGTCACGTCGACCAGGCAGAAGGGGCCCATTCTTCGCGTCCTCCATGACAAGAATTGCACTAGGAAGAATATCTACCACTTTGAGTCGTGCCCGCAGTCGTGCTGCATTGAGTCCAGTTGCAATCTGGGAACACAGGACAGAATTCAGATTGAGTCTGTTTAAATGAACGGGATTGTATAGGTGCACACTTGCACAGCCAGTCCTCAAAGTGTGATTTCTAACCTTGGTTCTCACTTCGCTCGTGTCCTCTACTCGAACCACTATGCTTTGGCCAATCCAAGCCCACGGCTCCCTGAACCCCGGTGATGGTCCTGCAGTGATCTGCAGGCATTAACCGGTCATGGCATAGGAGCATCCCTTTTAATCCCGCTTTAACAAAACGAAGACAAGAGAGGGTGACAACTCACGCAAGAATCCGAGGGCACCCTCCTTTTGTCACTTTCAAGGACAGGTGATACAGGGTGTGAAACCAGCGCCAAGGCAGCTGCCTAATGCATGAAACTGCAGTGGTTTTCGTTCCAAGCTTGGCTATTTCTTAGCCTTGCAGAAGCGTTGGAAGGTCTTGAAGTCAATCCACTCCTCAGCTTCGCAGCCCAGAAGGCTGTTCGCCTATCTGTGCTGAACACAGGCAAGGCCTGTTTCTGTGTAATTCCAGCTCATTAACGAAGATGGGCAATCTGCGACATGTTTTTGGGGGTTCATATATATATATATATGCAAAAAAAATGCTAAAGCCACACCACACACACACACAAAGACTTGCGGCTGTGGTTCCTTACCCCCAGTAGCAGCCGAGATCATCTCTCTGCACTCAAGCTCTGAGATGTCCTCACCCATCTCTGCAAAGATCTGTGCAAGGCCTTTAGGATGGATCGCCGTGACGGTATCTTTCCTGGGAGTTATGTGCAAACGATGCCCCATGATCATTTACATCGGTGGCAAAATGCATGCAGCCCTCCACCTAACCGCCACCGGGGCAACCTTGTCTGTAAGTGGTATCTTGGGTTGTAGGTTGGAACCTTTACAGATGACAGGGGCGAACCCAATCCGGTCCTTCGGGTCCGGCGTTTCTCCAGTTTTCACCGGGTTGGTTTCTCGATGTTTGTTTAATTGGTCTATAGGGAGAACGGGAGCACGCGACTCCTGCCGGTTTCGGCGTAAGGGACGTTGAGTTGTCCCCCTGGGTCAACTCTTCCTTTGGCCACCGGTCTGGAACAACGTGACTGACCCGTACGTTGTTGTGGGTGAACTGGTTGGGTCGTGACTTGGTTTGGTTTCCCGTTTTTTGGGTCCCACGGTGTCTTCCTGTGGTGACTCGTGGCTGATCTGGAGGGCACAAGACGAAACGGCAAGACAGGGGGAATGATAGCTGCTGAATGTGCAAGCAGGGATGCAAACGCGGGCCGGGTTTTGTTTGTCCCGCGGGTCAGGGCCTTAGACATCCCGCGGGAGTGACGGCCAGGCTGCCATGTCCTTGCCAGACTCCCAGTGGGACATCTATCAGACGGCTATATGCCAGTCTAGGGTGATGGCTCGGTCTTGGTGTTTCACGTCTTTTCACTTTTTGTCACTTTGCTTGGCTGTGCTGAGTGAGTGGCTGCATACTGTGTCCCTTGCTGATGGGTATTTTTTGGTGTAGGGATGGCCGGTGCGCCCAGAGTGAACATTTGGGTTTGGTGCCTTGGTTTGTTTATGCGGCTACCACCACCGCGACCTCATCATCATGATCATTTACATGAAACACATGGAAAACCAAGGCTTCTGTGGAAGCAAAGAAGGCTTCCTTTTGCTTCGAAGTTGCGCGCTGATGTCTAGGCTTTCGGGGCCGAAGAATCCAAAGGCCTCTTGCAGTTCTTGCTCCAAACTGATCGGCTGCGAGATGCCTTCCAAAGACGGCTGAGACACATTCCAAGTTCAACTGATTTCAAACTTCAGGTGAGGTCATTCTCTGACCGACTCTGTAGACTCTGATCGACTCTGTAGACATTCTCATCTGTGGACCTATGTTGACGGCCACCTGATTCATTAAGCAAGTTGACAGTCCCAAGACAAGCACTTATCAAATACATATTTTCAGAATGATAGGTATAGACAATATAGACACGATGACGTTCAAGGAGCACAATGTCTCAGCCTTCCAGGAAAGTGACCAGCTCTGGCAATTGCACACTGCCGTCGCCATTATAGTCCATGCGGTGGAAAAACATCTCCAGCTCTTGCAAGGACAGGTTCAGGCCCAGTGCCTGGCAGAAAACTCACAACTCTAAGTGCAAAGGTCAACCAACTACTTGGGGCGAGCTGGGCAATCACTTTGACATTCGATATCTAAAGAATCATATAATGCAAAGGATGGAGCCCTGGATCGCCGGCATTTGCCTTTCCTTGCAGAAGAACAACATGTCGTGACGATGCTGACCAAGTGTATAGGAGGGCTTGTGCACATGCAGGCACAAACAATAGCATGCGGGCAAATAAATGATGAACATGGTCCATGGTTTGGACACATTCTCTTTTCTTTTCTTTCCTTTTCTTTTCCTCGCTCTCTCTCTCTCTGTCTCTGTCTGTCTCTCTCTCTCTCTCTCTGTCTGTCTCTTTCTCTCTCTCTCTAGCTCTCGCCCCCCTGCACGTATTCACTCTTTGCTGCGCGTGCACGCACAGAAAGGTCAAGCGAACGTATCCACGCATTTGTTACCATATGGTTGGGTGGGGGCAACTGCAATTGCTTGGAAGCAACAACGACAAAAAATGACTCTTTGACCATCCAGCTATTGTGCCTTCATCATTGGCAGAAATTCACCTTTGTCAATCTCTCCATCCCCATTCTTGTCAAAGATCTGAAAGAGCTCTCTGCACTCTGCGATCTGCTCTGCTGTGAAGCCTTCTCGTTTCTTGCTGCCCGGACGGCTGCCATGAATGTCAATCTTTTCAGGATCCAAGGCAAGTCGCTGATGTCTCTTTGACAAAGAAGACGCTGGCATCGAAGGGTCCATGGCTGTGGCCAGCAGAGCAGGTCAGCGGGTCAGAGCTGCCAAGTGAGGGAAACACAAAGCCTTTTGCAGATGTTTTTTGCTTTCCGGGACTCCCCCGAGACTGCTTAGTTCAAGCTGCTAGTAACTAATAGCTACTTGAGCAGCTCTGCGGACATGACCCAGAGACTGTCACAAGCTGATACGTTCAATATACGTTCAAAGCTATATATTGGATCTCCCCTGTTTTGGTGTCCCATCCTGTTCCACATTCATACTACCATTAATCCGGATCCAATCTCAATCTTGTCATCGAGAAAATCTTTCCCAAGGCAAAGTCCTGGCCAACAAGGAGCGGGAACCGCAAGCCAGATGTTTGTCGCCTGAGGCGGAAACCAAAGACACTGAGAAAGGCTACATACCTTCCACCTGGTCAAGACAAACAAGCAGAAACACAAAAACTAAAAAGAACACAACAGAACAGAACAGACGGGGAGAAGAGAGGAGAGAAAGGAAGACTCCTGACAATGTATGCGAACGATTCAATGACTTCCAGATACGCCATGGAACCTCATATTCCACTTTCAATGGCGTACTGCGGGAGATCAAGTCAAGTTGCTTGGACCCCCAATTGCAAACACCACTGTCCATGAACCTTTGACCATCATCTTATCAAAGTTCAGCACCAAAATCAAGTCTATCCGCTCAGCTCACCACCTACCCCACCTTCCTCATGATCTGTTGCACTGTTGTAATCCTCGGTTGGGGAGCTGTCAAGGTCTCAAGTGTCAAGGTCTTCAACACTCAATCAAGCATTATTCCAGTGTAGAACAAGCTACAAAGACCAAAATGCGCCATTCCGTAAGTCACTCATCTGGGCATGCAACTTGCCATTGATATTACTATATAATCTATATATTACATTATATTACTATTATTGTTGCAGTGTTGTCAGTCCACTGAGAGCTCAGCCAACAGGTCATTTAAACCTGAGACACGGGCCGGCAATGCCCAGCAATACCCCCAACGGAGTCGATCAATCTTCTTAGGTCAAAAAGTGAAGCAAAAAACACAAGACAGGCCAGCTCAAAGTTGCTCACTTTATCTAACTCTGTACCTCAGAAGCCTCTCAACAAACAACCAAGCCGGCAGTCAACATTGGCCGCATTAGGTCGAATTAGCTATGCTGACCCTCACCTGTCCCAGCGCTTTGGCGTCTGAGTTAGGAAAAAAGTCGCACAAACATGGCAGGAAAAGGATCACAGCAGGTCGGTCGCCACCATGACCTCAACAGCAGTAATTTTCCTTGCTGGACCCAGCCAAATGCCAGCCAAGATGCTTGAACAAATTCCGCTTCGCCAACAGTTCCACTTCCATTCTGATCAAAGAAGGATATCATCCTCTCTAGCCTCAGTCCACTTTGGGCAACCATTCCAGCAAAAATTAACAACGTTAACAACAACGACAACAACAACAACTGGCACCCCAAACCCACCATGGCCATCCATGGCCCACTGATTTGTGAAATGTTCTGCTGTACCAACTTCCTTGTTCTGACAAAGGTCAATCATATCGCACACATTTCTCAAACACATTCCGCCCTGTATTCAATTGTTGTTGGGCTCCACTGTGCACCCAAGGCTCTCATTTTCAGCAATCGGGAGATTGGTTTCCTTGACTGCTCGTCGCACATCTCGCAAGGAAAGGCGGCCCGCACCGGAGGTATCAAACAAGCGGAACCTCGGGCCATGATCTCAAGTGCGATCTTGTAATCTGTCCGTGTGTGTGCCGGCGTGCTTGCGCCACTCATCTCAACCCCACTTATTGCCATTGCCCTTTGCCCAGTCACGTAGTCAGCATTGCTGCAAGCGGATCTTGCTCTGCAAACTTGTTTCTGATGATTTTCGCAAATTCTTTGAAATCCAATACCTCCGACGCACCAAATTGAACAAAACCATGGTTGCTAGCAGCAGTACATATCAGAATCATACCATATCAATATCCCAGAGATTCTGATGCTCAATGCCACGTCACATCTTGAGGACTGTGTCCGCATGCCCGCAAAGCTTCGAGGACATCGGCTTTCCTAAGTCGGTGCGATTTCTGCTGCTTGATCGTGCTGATTCATCGAGCGGATTGTGCTGATACATGCATGCATACATACATTATTACATTACTATACATTACATTGGTACATGCAAACATACGTATACGTACATACGATTACATTGCATTACCGAACAAGACAAGACAAGAAAATACGACACAACACAATACAATACATAGATTTCAGACATAACATACAGTACATACAATGCATACATTACATACATGCATACATACATTGCACTGCATTGCATTGCATTACATTTCTTTACATTAATTACATTGCATTTCATTACAATACAATACAATACACCATACACACATGCATGGATACATGCATACATACATAAATCATACATACATACCTACAAGCCCCACCCCAAAGTGGGGGGGGGCTGTCTAAATGTAAGCTACGTTTTTGTTTCTTTGGGTTGAAAAATGTACGCTACATTTTCGAAAAGACTTGGAATGTGTAGCTTACATTTTTCCCGAAAGCATTGCGAAGGGTTCTTCCGGAAAATCCTTTGAACACTGACACTTCGGCACTTACACTTCGACACTCACACTTACACACACACACACTGGAAGAGCGAAAGCATCCAAGTGCGAAGTATGCCAGTGTCAAAGTATGCAAGTGTAAGTATGCAAGCATGATATGCAAGCGTGAGTATGCAAGCATGCAATGAGTAGGCAAGTGTGAGTATGGAAAACTAGCACGGGAGATGTCCTAATGAAAAAACATTTCCCCACTTTATAAATTCTCTCTTAAAGGCGGAGTGCGGGACGAACAGCGTCAACCGAAAGTGCAACCCTCTGCGGAGATCGTGCGTGTCGAGTGCGCGAAATGCAGGCGAGAGTGCGATGTGCCGGGTGCCCGCGCAACCCCCTGCGGAGATCGTGCGTGTCGAGTGCGCGAAATGCAGGCGAGAGTGCGATTTGCTGGCTGTGCGCGCAACCCTCTGCGGAGATCGTGCGTGTCGAGTGCGCGAAATGCAGGCGAGAGTGCGACTTTGTAGTACAACTTTAGTACGCGGAGCAATCTGTGGAGCTGGACGCTGAGAACTGGTGACTTTGTAGTACAACTTTAGTACGCGGAGCAATCTGTGGAGCTGGAAGCTGAGAACTGGCGACTTTGTAGTACAACTTTAGTACGCGGAGTATCTGGGGAGCTGGAAGATGAGAACTGGCGACTTTGTAGTACAACTTTAGTGCGCGGAGTCTCTGGGGAGCTGGAAGATGAGAACTGGCAACTTTCTAGTACAACTTTAGTACACGGAGCAATCTGTGGAGCTGGAAGCTGGGAACTGGCGACTTTGTAGTACAACTTTAGTACGCGGAGTATCTGGGAAGCTGGAAGATGAGAACTGGCGACTTTGTAGTACAACTTTAGTACGCGGAGTATATGGGGAGCTGGAAGATGAGAACTGATGACTTTGTAGTACAACTGTAGTACGTGGAGCAGTCTGTGGAGCTGGAACCTGAGAACTGGCAACTTTGTAGTACAACTTTAGTACGCGGAGTATCTGGAGAGCTGGAAGATGAGAACTGGCGACTTTGTAGTACAACTTTAGTACGCGGAGTATCTGGGGAGCTGGAAGATGAGAACTGGCGACTTTGTAGTACAACTTTAGTGCGCGGAGTATCTGGGGAGCTGGAAGATGAGAACTGGCGACTTTGTAGTACAACTTGAGTACGCGGCTGAGTCATCTCTCGCAGCTGCTCTGGCGCCCCTGCAGCTGAGTCATGTCTCCCGACCACCCGGCTCTCTTAAAAGGTTGACACACACACAGAGACCCACGCACTGCCTCAACTTACTCGGAGACACACACAGACAGAGACTCATACACACACAGACATAGATACACACACACAGAGACCCACACACTGCCTCAACCCACACGACTTAACACTTCACACTGAACACTTAACAGATAACTCACACTCTGACTTCCTACGTGATGAAAAATGCTTTCGGGCCACTCGTCGTCTAGTTTGTAGGTTTCACTTTCTTAACGCCTTTCTGTGTTTGTTCATGCTCGAAGCAGTGACACTGACATGCTTTGCACTTTGCTTCTCTTCTTTTGATCCCAGAATTCAGTTTGCTTCACTAAATCCCCATGGATCGTTTTGATCCGGCCTGCAAAGACGGCCTGTCAAGAAATTGCAAACCTTTACATCCTAAAAAAGGATCACGAAATGTCCCCAGGCGCAACGGTGGCACGACCTTGCGGATGAAGTTGGTCAGCTTTGTCTTTGGTGACTCTGTGTGTCCCTTCTTCTTCTTGTCACCATAGGTTCCAGGGACAAACCTCAGCTGAGATCGCGTAAACGGCGTAAAAGCCCCGGTTGCTTCCCCTATACCGCTCTTGATGTTATTGTATGTCATCGTTTTCCTGATGTTTTTACAATACCTTGGCTAACTGCAATATTTGTACAATGAATAACTTTATATAACTTTTTCATATACAGTACAAATATTGTTAAAAAGTATTGTATACTTGTGTGATCATGTGTGTGCACTGTGTGCATGAAGTGTGGAACCTCTATAGTTGTAAGCTACAGTTGTTGAGGCCCCCCAACCCCAGTCTACACTCATTGCTTTTGCACTCTGGGAGCTCTGCCAATGTGTGAAAGACTCCAGAGCTATGTGTCTTCTTGTCCTTCTTCTCCACATACTCAAAGTAAAGAGCGCTTCTTGCACAAAGGGATTCCCAAGTACACAAGGCACCACTGACCTTGAAGCCGCCGGTATTGTCAAGAAGCTCCACTCCAGCGCCTGCATGTGCATTGGGAAGCTTTGCAAAGAACTGCTAGATGTTCTTTTAGCCACTTGCGCCCAGGACAAAAATATTCACGGCGAAGCCAGCGAAGCTCGTGTCTGCCAAGCCCTCGGTTGAATCTGCCACTACCTCTTTGCC